GGGGGGGGGGGGGGGGTTCAGGCACTAGGGCAGGAGCCAGCAAAGGGACACATGGACAGGCTGTGTGACACTTAGGTCAAAGTTCATCTTACAGGAGACCTCTGCTCTTCTTCTCTGAGCCTAATTAAATTCTATGAGAGGTAACGTATGTATCTCACACAACACAAACACAGATTCACATAAAATCCCGGCTGAAAATCGCTGGCTTTCTGCATATAGACAAGCGTACTTTCTCATTTTCCTCCCACAATGGACTCAATCCATTTTTCTTACTTGTTCATTTTACTGCCATGATTCATAAACATGTTTTCTTGCACACTGCAAACATTCATACCGAAATGTATTGATGTGTGTCCAAAAGGGAATTGATAAGTGCATGTTTTTTCCTCGTCACCTGACATCCTAGCATTGCAATCCATCAGCGAAGCCAAAAGTGCTGCCAGACGGACTATCCCCTTTCACGCCGTGAAGCGTTCATGTCTGTCATATAATTCCTGTTAGTCAGAACAGCTCAAGCTCTCTAATTAAAAACAGGAAAAAAACTATAAAATGACTAGCTGATTAAAATGCTTCAGGAATTAAGTGTAATAAATTATGCGGGTCCAATTATCATATTAATTCTCACTGGGGTGTGTTCATGTCTTCACACGCAAGTGGGAATTGACGGAACATGATTTAAAATCATATTGTTTATTTCTATTGAATGAATGCTGGATTTTGTACATCTGTCTAAGTAGACACTACAGGGGGAGTGCAAATGCATTAATGCTGTCTGCTTGGAGCCCAGGAACTCGACTGCTTACTTGTTTTCATAGTATTTGCTAGCAGCGTCGTCAATCCTGAGGAGAACAGAGATGATTGACAGCGGGTGGTTACCGGTGGTTACCTGGAGGCCTCGTGTGTGATGCCTCTATTCTCACTGCCACCGTCGCAGAAGTACGAGCCAGGATTTCTTCATCTCAGTCCCAGCAGTTTGCTCAGTCCTTTAGGGAGCTGGTTTGGACAGTATTAATGGACAGGCAGGCTTTGGCCTACTTGATTTGGAATAACAGGCAAATTGCGATACCTCCCATCAGAGATGTGTTATACCTAGGACAAGTCAGGGAGGTGCCTACTGAGCAGAGGTGTGCTTGCAATCCTCTCAGCAGCCTGATGCTGGCTGTGATTTTAATTAATATAATTTTATCATTTAAATGCCTGCATATTGTGCACAGCCTATTAAGGTTAAGAGGTAAAAGGAATGGGTCAATATTGGGTATAGGAGGGGAGGGGACAGGAGGGAAGGAGAGGAGAGCAGAGAGAAGGGAGGAGAGGAAGGGAGAGAGGAGAAGAAGGTAGAGGAGGGGAGGAGGGGAGGAGGGCAGAGTCAATGTGTGAAATTCTCCACGGTAGTGCAGCTTGAAATATCTCTCGCTCCAAACCCCTGCTGCCATTTTGGGTCTGGGCATCTTTAAATTTGCTGCATCATTCTGCCGTTGGGGCAGACTCTACTAACAGAGGAGGGGCTCTGAAGCAGGTCAGAGTGATGGGCCCACTGACCAATGAGCACAATCCACCTGTGGGAGCGAAAGTGGAGCGGGAGGAGGGGCAAAGTGAAAAGCAGAAAATAAAAGGGACAACACAAATATGTGCAGTACCCATAGCGCGTAACGAAGCCAAACTTAAACCAATAAATAATACTTTTGAATCTCTTTCCTGCTCTGGAAGATTTTGGAAGCAAGTACAAAAAAAGAATGACAGAGACCAATGTAGCGAGATGGTTCTGCAGAAATTAAAACCATTTTTGGAGGGTATCGTATACCCTGGAGGGCAAAACTGAATGGAGCATAAAGTGGGGAAAAAAGACACCAGAATACTCCCAGAGGAGAGCGAACATGCTGAAGCTTCAGAGATGGGCTTGGCGAGAGAGCCCCTATCCCCTTGCAAGTTATGCATGTTTGCAGTATGATGTAAGTTAGATGGTTGTCTATATGTGATACGTGTGACTCGAGGACCGAACGCTTCTTTTTATGGCTTTCTAAAAGGTCCTCGCTCACTACCCTGTGTTCCAGTGTGCCCTTCACACGCAGAGACTGGCACGCTGCCCGCTTGAATGAATGAGATTTGCTTGGCTCTCCGCAGTCATTCGATAGTGGCTAAGCAAAGCCTGAACTGCAACATTGATTCATTGCTAATACACACAATGGAAGATTTAATGGACTTCCTTTTCAGTATCGCCTTTTATGCCTTGATGAATCAAGGACTGTAACCCACATTTTTTTCAGCTAAGTAGGACAAGACATTCTTCCAAAAATGGAATACAGTACAGGCGTTGGGATGAGGTCCGTCTAGGGACAGAATGAGTGATTATCAAAGCTTGGCTATATTCATTTTACTGTGGTAATTGTAGTAAATTCTAGGTTTGATACCAGCTCGCAGTGTCTCATGAGACTTGGAAGACTGGGAACACTTGCTGACCTCCAAGTGAACTAGGAGACCGTAACCATGGCGACTGCTAACATTCTTCCTTTTTCACTGCTAGTGGTTATGGACACCCTAATCATCGAAGACATCAAAGGAAAGAGTAGCAGACACTTCATGTGGGCCCCTGGGCGCCTGGCGGACCTCCTCGAGGGTAAAACACGGTGGTAACGTCACACGGCACGGCCACTGGAGCAGCCTGTGCATTGTTAGCGCCTGTAATCTGAGGGACAGTAGAAAGCGGGTTAAACAAGGCATCTGACAGTGACTTGGAAGGCGATCCCACTTAAATCTCAAATGAAGTACTTCATGTGGTTTCATTTACAAATTTCTCTTTTTCGACGGCCTGCTCTCAGAGACCCACATTGTCAAGGGAATTAACAACTTTACCGCTGAGTTGTGTAAATGAAAGAAAAGCTGGATGAAAATGTATTTCTGTTCACGCCTTATGATGCCTTCTTAGGCTAAGGAACCGCCCACTTCCATTCCCTCAATGGCTCTTGTAATACCAGCATAAATATTCTGTGTTTGGGAAAAAATGGCTACATAGGGGGAGAGCAAGAATGATCCTGAAATATTTACACAACAACTCCATTGTCAAAGATCATGAGAAAACGTCCACACATGTAGTTGAACGTGCTTGGAAACAAATGAAGTCAGGAGATGCATTTATCGACTCATTAAACTTCATCAAACTTCCCAAGCTTGCTTGCTAAGACATGCTTTTTGAAATTTTGTGATACATGTGCTGAGGGTCTCTGAAAGAGCTACAGTATTTGTTATGATGTGCATGTACAAAACATTTGTTTTATATAAGGTTTTTAATATGTAGTTAAACTTAAATAAAGGAACCAGTTATAAATGTATGTTTCTTTTTGGTTTGTCTTGGCTGGAAAGAAGCTGATGCAAAATCACCTCCTTCTTCTTTTGATGGATTTATCGCACTAATTTATTACCATTGAACTCGTGAAATATGCGGTAAGATGCTGTTTTTCAGCAGGAGAGCTTGATATGATGACACTCGTCTTTGTTGTGGCCAAATTTTAAAAGTAGCAGGTTGAGAGAGAAGAGTTTCATATGTAATTGTCTTTCTCATCAGACATCATCAGACAGTGTATATAATTATTAAACGTAAGCTTTGTTTATAAGGTTGCATCCTGTCAGCATTTTCTCCAGGATTAATGCTGTTTATCGTGTTGTTACAACGTCAGAATTTATCACATTGCTTCCTCTACATGGCTAACAACGTGAACCTTTGCTTTGTGCTTATCTGGGAGCCACATCTTAACCTGCCTTAACCTCCTTCTGCTGTTTTATTATGCGTTATCTCTGTGCGTTAGGACTTCGATTCAACTTATGTTTTATATAGTGCCTTTCACAACACTGGAGTTCCCCCGGGCGCTTTGCACGGGTTTGTAATTAAAACAGAGTAATACAAAAACGGGATGAAGGGAAGACAAAGAAACGAAAGAAAGCCATGGCAGAGTCGCTTAATGACAGTCGAGCCCCCGCAGTGATGATTCAGCAGTATTTACCAACCCGCTGCACTGGCCTGTGGACACATTCGCAGGGGTGTCTCGCCCTGTTGTTGATGTACGGACTTCACGCCTCCATTCCTCTGGGGAGTCCCTGCTGGCCTTGTCAGTCCTTCCTGATGGCTCTCTGGACAACAACAGAGCCGCCACACCAGTCTGAGCTCATCACTGACTGCTACTCAGTAGTTACTGGAAGCCAAATGTGCTGCTTTTCAAATCTCCACCTTATTTTTGACCCACAAGCAAGAGCCAGATTTTTCTGAACCTGGAGAAAAACTGATTTCTAGTTTTTCACAATAAGAGTCATATCCAATTTCACCCAAACATGTGAAATTTAGAAAATAATATCCCACACTGTCTGCCAGAATCTACTTGTTTTGCTTGTTCTTATTTATGTTCTGTGAGCTTTGAATTTTGTGGTGGCAGGTGCACTTATGAACACCCTTATGCTCGAGCACGGTGTTCGTCATGGACAGACTGTGGGCAGCACAGAAGTGCAATAACAGCACCGCTCGGGCTGAGGTTGGCCAGGTCGTTCCTCCCAGTCACACCCTTCCAGGTTTCACTGTCGTCATCCACATGAGCGTTAAAGACCCCCAGCAGGACTATGGAGTCCCTAGAGGAAGCATCTTCCAGCACCTCATCCAGGTTCTCAGAGAAGGCTGAATACTCTTAACCGGCGTTCGGTGCATACGCACAGACAACAGTCAGAGAGCTTCCCTTGAATCAAAGTGGAAGGGTGGTGACCCTCTCGCTCACCAGGGTGAACTCCAACGCACTGACATTGAACTGGGAGGCTATGATTAAACCCACACCTGCCCGGCGCCTCTCACTATGGGTAACTCTAGCGTGGAATAGAGTCCAGCCCCTCTCCAGGAGTTTGGTTCCAGAGCCCAAGCCGTGTCTCACTACCTCCCGCAGCAGCTCAGGCACCATTCCTGCCAGATAGGTTAAACTTCATGTCCCTAAAGTCAGTTTCGGTAGCTAAGGATCGACTCGCTAAAGCCTCCGCCTTCGACTGCCGCCTGACCCCACTCTGCACCAGACCTTTACGGTTCCTCATGCAGGTGGTGGGCCTGTAGGAGAACAGTTCCATGTGGCTCATTTGGGCTGTATCTGGCCGAGCAGAGGTCAGAGGTCCGTCATGGGTAGGGGTCCAACCCCCACTCATCCCGGTACCCCTGTTCTGCGTGAGGTTTCTGGGTCCCTTGTTTGAATGTCCCTTAGTCTGGCTGCTCACCTAGGACCTGCCTTCCATGGGAGACCCGACCGGGGCAGCAGAAACATAACATCTAGGATTCCTGGGACTCACAAACCCCTCCCCCACGTTTAGTAGGCGGGCAGGGGGAGCCCTAGTCTACACACATGTGTGTGGTAACCAGACCTTGGGGAGTGTCTGCTAGTTATGATTAGAGGAGCTATTTTATTTTGGGCTATTTTATTCAGTGACTGTTACATTGTGTTATTTGTGATATCTCAGTGACTGTTATATTGTGTTATTTGTGATATCTCAGTGACTGTCACATTGTGTTATTTGTGATATCTCAGTGACTGTTACATTGTGTTATTTGTGATATCTCAGTGACTGTTATATTGTGTTATTTGTGATATCTCAGTGACTGTCACATTGTGTTATTTGTGATATCTCAGTGACTGTTACATTGTGTTATTTGTGATATCTTCAACATCATTACTGGAGGTAAATCTAACATTATTAGTGCAATAATAATTAAAGAAACACCACTATTGAGATTTCATTTCATTCTTTTCTTTAAATGTTATCTATGGGCAAGAGTAGTTAAAAAATTATCAAAAAAAAAAAAAAGATTTACAGGAGACGCTGTCATGTTTTGGACTTTAACTTCCGCCACATGTAATCATTATGTAGCTACTGTATATTTAAAGCAGAGCCGGCCAGTCCTGAGAGCAGGTGGCAGGTCATGGCTTTGCTCAAGGGCCCGGAGATGACATCACCCTGTCTGCCGTAGGGTTTGGACCCTCGACCTTCTGATCACGGGCACAGTATCGTAACCCTCTCAGGCACACAGCGCCCCTGTCGGCTCCGAAGGGTGGCGGTATCTCTAAATGTACAGCCCAGTTACCGGTCAGTCTCTGTTTCTGCATCATACAAACTACATAATAATACACAATAATACCTGGGACTCAGATGAGGGATGTTTATTTACAGCTCCGCTATACTGTTGCTGTGAAGATGGCTGTACTCTCTGCCCCGAGCTGCAGTGAAGGCTTCCGGTGAAGCAGCAAAGCAAAAATAAAGACGTAGTATCAGAACAAAGGTTCTGTCGACAGACGGAGGTCGATCACCGTAAACGCGTAACATCATATTGCTAATAAGCACGGCTTTACTACCAAGGGAGAAGAGATTTAATAGAAAGCATTGCACATTAACTTTAAATTAAAAGTTTGATTTTAGCAGGGTAATGATGATTAAATCATATACAAGGATCCCCAAGTGTAGCGTCTGACATTTAATCTAGGTCTAGATATGGTTGCTATTTTCTGCTGGTGCTCAGCTGCACTTAGATCTACACTGAGTGCTGAGTTTATTAGGCACACAAACAGCCTGCGCCTGACGTAGTTGTAACTCCATATGCTGTTAGGGTCCTGAGGCTGGGTTACTGAGCATTAGAATAGAATCAGAATCAGAATAAGAATAGAGTTTATTGCCAAGTACGTTCACACATACAAGGAATTTGCTTTGCTGGTTGGTGCCAGACACTGGGAGATAAAGGTGTGTTTATATATATACAGTATATATATATACACACACACATACACACACGCAAGTTGGTCGTCCTATCTAAATGGGGACCGTTCATTAATTTCTATGGTAAAATCCCTAATCCCAATCACGACACCCTGAACCTCTACCCATCCCTAACCTTAACCATAAGCAACCAACCAAAATACAAGACTTTTGGCATTTTTACTTTTTTGATTGCATTCACAGATTTTTATAAAACTGAGGTGATCCAAATGGGGACCTCAAAAGATGTCCCCAAATGTAGGGAAATTTTTTTAGGACAAATTGGTCCTCAAATGTGATCTATGCAAACTGAGAGAGATATATACATATTTAAGAGAGTGTATGCTTATACTAGGATGAGGAAATAGTATTTGAGCGAGTGTTCCTGGCCTTATTGATGAGGTGGGGAAGCAACTGTCTTTATGGCGTGATGTTTTGGTCTCAATGGACCGCAACCTTCTGCCAGAGGGGAGAGTCCGAAGGAGTTTGTGACCAGGGTGAGAGGAATCAGCCATAGTCCTTCCTGCTCTTTTAGCAGAGCTGCCTGACCTCAGCTGGGGGCCTCCAAGCTTTTGGCAATCAGGAGCCAACATACATCGTGAAACGATTTCACACAGCGGAGCCTCACACGCAGTGGAGACCATAGCCTGTTTGTTACTGGCATGCGACCTCTCTGCTTGCCCCAGGCACGGTGCAGCTTATGGGGGTTGGATTTATCAGCAGGCCAACTTTAGCTGTTTCCTTTCTTTTCCAGATGCGATTTGATATATAAATATAAATATACAGTTTATTTGTGGAGATTAAGCACCTGCCTTCCCCCGCAGCCCACTGAAGTACTGCGAATGGTGCAGCAGCGGGTTGGAAGCCCCTGATCTAATTATGCATGGGGGGGCTGACATGCTCAGTGCAATCGCTCAGAAAGATGCACCTTCCCGGCCTCAAACAGCTGTCATTGCGTTAGGCCTCTGTGCCCATGCCAGCATGGTTGGTCTTGGGTTCGAATCCCATGGCCAGCACTGTAACGGTATCACCTTTGGGCCCTTAAGCCCCATTGTCTCAGGGATGTTCTGACCCGGTTCTCTGATTCTGAATTGTCAATCATTTGGGTGAAAAGTGTGCAAATAATTGTGGTCAAAAGGTCATTTTTGATGAGTGAGGTCAGATGAGAAAGTGCAGGCGTGCTGTTGCTGACAGACAGGCAACAAGTACATAGAAAGCAATACAACAGTGTTGAATGGAAAGGTCTGTCCTCAGAGTGACTACCCTAGCATGCTCTGCCTGTGATGCCAAATTACAGAGATTCTGAGTCATTGCCAGAAGGGAACTAAATATGGAAAAATATTCAGGCCATGATTTAAGGTCACATGACCGAGGCCCAGGTGGTGCTCTGAGAAGATCATGTGACTGAGGCTCAGATGGTGCTCTGAGAAGATCACGTGACTGAGGCCCAGGTGGTACTTTCACAGGTCATGCAGGTAGTTTTGTTTACCATGTGCTTTTATAAACTATATGCACTCCTGTCCAGTTATGAAACTGTCCTTCTCATGAATACCAAGCTGATCCCAAAAATCATCCCAAAAGTCCATCCATTTTGATGAACAGCAGCTCTATAACCAGCAGTACAGGGAGCCTAGCCTGCTGCTACAGGGTGCATCTCTTTCAGATTTGATAAGATATCAGTGACTGTTAATGTCTGGCATTTTCTGTTATCAGTTTTACATGTCGATATCCTCTTTAATATACTACACTGCTGGGGCTTCATCTTTAGTTCCAACCTGGACAAACAAGATGAGATTTCATTGTTGAGAAATACATATATTTGAGCCTTAATTTCAGATACCTGGGCCCCCGAAAGGCATTTTACCCAGAATGCTGTCTTACTATGGGTACGAATTTTATACAAATCAACAGTCATTCTGTTTGAAACAGAAAAGCTGTTTTTGGTATTAATTGGTGACTGGTGTGCAGGTAGCGTGTTCTTTGAGCTCTTAGACCCCAGTCTGACTGTAATGCAGCGCTGTTAGTGCCGTTCCCCAACTGCAGACAGGAGGGTCTGGAAGAGCTGTGATTGAGTGAGTGCCTAATCCCAAGGCAGTGAGTCAATTGAGTGAGTGTCTAGGGCTCAGAGAACGTTCTTTAGTTTGTTGTCATAGTTGGATACTCCACACAGTGGCGTCATATGTGTGGACTCCCTTGCTGAAGAGCTAATGCTGATGAAAAGAGTCTTAGTGCAAATTCCTGTCTAAGTTTGCATGTTGCAGCTTGTGTCATTATAAGTCTTCTAGTAAGAGAGTAATGCAGCAGTGGTTTGGCTCTCTGCGCAGTGATGTTTTCCGTTTGTTGTGATTGGCACAATGCCTTCAGTCAAAATGCTCTAAATAGTGTATAGTACCTGTTGCTTTGGCTGAAAATCCTGACAATTGATGCCACTGTGGATCTAGGCAGGTGGGGCTGAACTCTTAGACCTGCTTCCCTCAGGGACAGACCATGATTTACAACATGGTCAATTACTGTAGCTCTGATTTCATCAGTAACCATGGTTCTTCCTCTTCCTCTCTGTTGATGTCTTCTTGCTCTTCCTCTGCCTCTTGCTGCATCCATTTTTCACTAGCTTTTTCACACTTCATTCAGCTTTCCAGCTTCAAGCATTGTAAAATGCTTGGTGGTGACCTAGGGGGATGGTGGTGATCTAGTGGCTATGGATCTGGCTGGGCTCCCATTAGGAAGATTGTGAGTTCACTCCCAGGGGGTGCCATCATTGTGCCCCTGAGCAAGGCCCTTGACCCCAACTTGCTCCCAGGGGACGTCCCTGTAGTTCAGTATTTCACTGTAAGTCGTGCTAAATTAATAAATGTAAATGTTTTACTGTATTATATGTGCTGCCATAACCACTGTTTTTGCACAGAATACATTGTGTTGCAATGCAAAAAGGAAAGGGGTGGCACTCCATGACCTCATTTGTATAGATGGTAACAAAGCAGCAAAGAAAAACAGAATTACGAAATTTCTGCTAAAAGCATAATTATTTGTGTAAGTGCATAGTGTCCTTTGTCTGCCAAAATGCAGCATATTTCAGTTTACAGTGCTCTAAATTTCATTAGGTTTTGACCTGAAAGTTAACTGTTTTGAACAGATTATCTAAACGTCTGAAAAATCGGCTGTAGTTGTACAAAGTTTTGCTGGTGGCGAACACTGACTGAGAGAAGTATTCATGAAATTTGGGGGAAGTGGTGATTGAATGCATATTGTGTCAAAAAATGCAAAAGTATACATAGTTTAGCTCAGATAGTCCAATGGTATGTTGCACATGTTAAGTGTTTTGAAAAAGTGGACATGGTATTAAGACATGCGTTAAAATGATTGGAAAAAACTGTAATTCTATTTTAATTAGTATCAATCTTTTAAAAATGACATTTAAGCAAGAATCAATGCATTTGCTGACTTTTTGAGAGCTGGACCGAGCGGCTGGTGAGTGCCCCTCTCCCCACTGCGGCTCTCTGTGTTTTGAAGTCCTTGGTTGCCATGGTTTCATTTTGACCTCCATGTCTCGGAGTCACGGAAAGGGCAAAGGGAAAGATCAGAGCAGTGTGCATTTCTGCTGGAGAATTCTGAAGACGAGCTGGGACAGAAAACGATTAAAGAGAATGATTCAAGAATAAAACTAATTACTCTTTGGTTACTTGAAAAGTAGAATTCATATTTGTGTTAGTGGGGACACCTAGCTGCTGCAGCTAAAACACTGCTGCTCCTATTTGTTGAGATCACTGATTATGGGGTAATTGGTTTTTTACACTCAAAAACTTGCTAAAATTACTAAAATGTATACGTAAATTCATTTGTGTAATTCAAGCAGTTATTTCTGAGGAAAAAGATCTAAATTAAAATACTGAATGGAGAAAAAGAGAAAAAAAACCCAGAAGTGAAATATGAATAATAATATTCAATGTAAATTAAAATGCTTTGGTAGCATATTTCCTACTTTCCAACAGCCTGTTGTTTCACCCTAAGGCCCCAAATTAGGGTTTGGGTTAGGAAAAGTATGGCATATCAAGACATCAACACGTGTTTTTATCACAGGTCTGATTCCCAGTAGGATAGAAAACCACAGTTTAAGATCATCCGATAAGTTCAAAACAGTCCTCAGTTCTGCTTTTGATAAAGGCTTTTTATTACATTTCATAGACGCAGTCTTAACAATTACATTATTTTGCAATAGCATAGTTCCTGTTGCATTTCAGTGATGTAACATACTTTCAACAATATAAAGTAACACCCTGAATAAAATTGGTGAAAACCCAACACATTGGGATACAGAAAGCAAAGTGCACAACCTCTGTGATCTTCCTGCGTAGAACAGGGGTCACCAACCTTTTTGAAACTAAGAGCTACTTCATGGGTACTGAGCCATACGATGGGCTACCAGCAACACTTTACCTAAACTTATCTGAACTTCATGTATAATAAACGTGTTTTAAATGATTTTTTTTAGTTACTAAAATTTTCAAATCGATATAAATGCAAATGTGATTAAACAAGAGTAGCAACAGGATAAAATTAAATTTTAGACGCTGCTCACTGATGAGTTGTGCTATGTTTAGAACAGGTCCGCGGGCGACTCAAGTGGTCCTTGTGGGCATCCTGGTGCCCGTGGGCATCCTGGTGCCCGTGGGCACCATGTTGGTGACCCCTGGTGTAGAAGGTTGTTCTCCCAAGTAACATAACCTAAGGTCCTGTGTGATGTGTATGTACTGTGATATTTGTACTGTGATGTGTATGTTCTGTAGTCTGTATGTACTATGACGTTTATGTACTGTGATGTCTATGTACTGTGATGTACAGCATAGTGGAGGGATCCTTATGAAAAGGACAAAGAGGAAAATGATGGGATTAGGGAAGGTGCTAATGATTGTAAGATCTACCTGAAAAAGAAATAAATGAGAAATAAGAGAAGTAATTGTTAATAATCGATGGATTCCTGCTCTTTTAAAAATATTTTGGCTCTAAATCTAGTCATAGTAACACTATTGCCTCACATCTCTAGTGTCAAGCTTAAAATCCTGTATTTGTGTGTGTGTGTATGTGCATGTGTGTAGGTGTGTGCTGGTGTGTGTGTATGTTTGAATGTGTGTATGTGCGTGTGTGTATTTGTGTGGATGTACATGTGTGTGCATGTATGTGTGTGTGAATGTGCGTGTGTGTATGTGTGCGTGTATGTCTGTATGCGTGCGTGAGTGTGTATATGTGTGGATTTGCATGTGTGTGCATGTCTGTATGTGTGCGTGTGTATGTGCATGTGTTTATGTGTGCGCTAGTGTGTGTGTGCATGAGTGAGTGTGTGTGCATGTTTGTATGTGTGTGTGTATGTGCATGTGTTTATGTGTACGCTTGTGTGTGTGTGTGTGTATGTGCATGTGTGAATAGGTGCGTTGGTGTGTGTGTGCATGTGTGTGTGTATATGCATGTGTGTATGCAAGTGTGTATGCAAGTGTGTGTGTGTCTGTGGGTGTGTGTGTGCGTAATGGAATGTCATCTCAGACTCGTGTCAGCTGTATCTGCTGTTTATTTTTAATTGTATAGTAATTGTATAATAGCCAAAGCATATGTGATCTAGCAGTAATGAAATAAAACATCCATAAACTGTGATATGAAAATGTGAACAAAGTTACGTGAATGTTTTTATTCAAATCTTATGAGACACACAGCTGCATATTTGTGTCTCCAGCAATGCGCTTCAGAAAAAGGGGCAAAGGGGAATTTTTGTACTAGTTTTTGTACTAAGATCCAAAACAACAAAAACATCACGGAAACGGACTGCTGTGCATCACTGCTGACATGAAAACAGACCACAAGATGACTTTTACTTTTTAAACAGCTAACACAAAACTGGAGAAAAAGCAACATTGCCCAATACAACTGAATAATAAAGATTTAACATTCATAAACTGTAAGCCCAGAACAGATTATTTTTTTGTACCTTTTACATTTGTCGCTCATGGTCTCGGAAAACAGAAACAGCTAATTATTAAATATGAACGGGTAAAAACAGTATTACACAGTTACAAGACTTTTCAGAGAACACTTTCCTCACAGGTAATATGCATATTATTAAATACTATATTAAAAGAAAGGTAATACAATGCTAGATAGCTTTCATCTACAGAGAAAAGACCAAGGATTCTGCATATTACTTTTCCCAAGAACACTTAAAAACACACATATGACAAATAGTATTTTTTAAATATAGTAAACAGTGTGACAAGTAGAAAAGCAAACAGCACACTAATGTCAGAAGTCACTCCTCCTCCATGGACTTTTCAATTTCTTTGAGTCTTCTTGAAAATTCTTGTGCCTCCTTGTCCGCAGTTCTTGCCTCTAGCATTTTGACAATGGGTTTCTCTGTGTTGGAATAAAGAGGATTTATATGGCAAAAAGACAAAGAATTATTGAGTCAATCTGTGGTCAGAGCAGGTCAATTTGTCGATCTGAAAATATACGGCAACACGGCCATGCTTAGGATTGCACTGCCTGCATGTTAGCCAAGCCTGGTATGGAAATCACAGCTACTTTACCGCTGGGTTTCTGCCGGGTCAGGTGCAGGATAACGGGCGGCAGGGTCTTCGCTGCGCTGGTGGCATTGGGCCGGCCCGGCCAGCAGAAGTCACTGAGAGGTGCAATCGCGTCCCCTGCGAAGTCGTTGGTGGACAGCCAGTCGTAATCCATCACAGTGAAGGTGACACAGGCGCACCTATGTCTGTACTGCTCTGGGCTGACATGACTGTAGGTGGCGTGACAGAAGATGATGTCAAGAGGGCGGCAATATCCAGCGCAAAAACACAAACATAATCAGCCGTACTATAATCATTTTAGAATCAATAACCTGAAGAATGTGCACACTGTTATATTAGTATTATTGGGCAGATTATAATAGACAGCTGTGTATGAAAGGGTTAGCGGTAAACAATGGATATTTGTAACATCCGTCTTCACTTCTTGAGCAACTTTTAAGGAGTGGGCTGAAAAGGAGTAGGAATTTCGAGAATGATTAAATTTTTTTGTATGCTAGCTTTGTTTGCTGACATTCCCTAAGCACTGAAACAACCTCTTATTGCTGACCAACCAAATAAGCTGTGTGTAAGGATACACACCACATAAGAATCAATATTCCATAGAAATACTTACAGTTATGCTTTTGGGATTTTTAAATTTGGTATGTGTGGATCTATTTTATAAATGCAATACTGTAATTAAACAGATAATATTGTGTGTGTATTTGCATGTCTAAGGGGTTGTCAAGAAATTCCATCTAACCTTTGACAATTTACTGTTGTTTCCTGTGCAAATATGCATAGCAGGAGAATGTTGGGGATTTTAGGCTTTTTCTCTTTCACAAAATTATAAACACTACATCCATTATCATTTTATTCAATCATTTAACTAGTTTCTTGAAAAAACAGTATTAAACAAACAGTTGTTGCTCACAAGTAGAAGAACTCATCGAATACGGGGTGGAGAGTCTTGGGCTTCATTTGTGTGCGTTGACTCTTGGCGTTGGGGAACAGATGATGAGGACAGAGCTCCACAATGACAAATGGGTCGCTCAGTCCTTGGGACAACCAAGCAACATAGAAATTATAATAATAATAATTATTATTATTAAGAGTGGCAGCACAGGTTTGCTGGGTACCACAACATGCACAACGGCATCACTTATCAACATCGCTCACGATCTTCGCTCACGAGTATTGCTCGCGGACATCATTCACGGGCATCAGTCACGAGCATTGCCTGTGGACATCATTCATGGTCATCACTCACGAGCATTGCTCCTGGACATCATTCATGGATCATTGCTCACGGACATCATTCACAGGCATCACTCATGAGCCTTGCTCACGGGCATCATTCACGGGCATCACTCACGAGCATTGCTTATGGCCATGATTCATAGGCATCAATCACGAGCACTGCCTGTGGACATCATTCATGGTCATCGTTCAGCAGCATTGCTCGCGGACATCATTCAGGAGCATCGCTCACGAGCATTGCTCCTGGACATAATTCATGGATCATCGATCACAGACATCATTCACGGGCATCACTCACGAGCATTGCTTGCGGACATCATTCACGGGCATCACTCACGAGCCATGCTCGCGGACATCATTCACGGGCATCACTCACGAGCCATGCTCACGGGCATCATTCACGGGCATCACTCACGAGCATTGCTCACGACCATCATTCACGGGCATCACTCTGCACTAACCATTGGCATCCAAGGCGATAATGTCAGCTGCATGCAGAATCTCCACGGTCAGCCGCTGATCAGAGAGCTCATAGTAAAACTTGACACTAATCCGCCCAAACTTACTGTGCTTCAGTGTTTTCTGCAAGGTGAATTAAATATGAATCTACATTTCCATGAATAATATAACACAGAAGATTCAGGAGCACAATATCAGAATCACCATCCACCACATTCCCAACACTCAAGAAGATCAGCGTCACAGAGCAGTATCAGAATCCAGTCTATTCAGTCCTTCATTATTACTTTCATTCTGCAATTTATGTGCTGGGATTATAAATAGTAACACAACTGGGAGAAAAGATGTTAATATGCTAAAGCTGCCTTGCACGCATTAATAAGGAGAGCTCTGCCCAGAGCCCTCTGACACAGCTTCTTCTCTACCTGCTGGGAGATCTTCTCCAGGAAATACTGCTCAATCAGCTCATTAGATGAGAACTTGTTTAGTCTCAGCTCCTCCTCCAGGGCCTGGAACAGCACAGGCACTGAATCAGCTCACCAACTACACCATCATGCCAAAACAATGGATGATGAACAAGACATTTTGTTAGTTTGTGAGTTATTAGAGGGAAAGCACTTCATTACACAGCGTGCAGTTAGAGTATGGAGTAGTTTTCCTGTTAGTGTACAGCAAGCTAAAACACTGCGGTCCTTTAAATCCGAGTTAAATAAGATTTTAACAACTTTGAGCTATTAGTTGAGTTCTCCCCAAACGAGCTTGATGGGCTGAATGGCTTCCTCTCATTTGTAAATTTCTTATGTTCTTATCAATCGCGATCAAAACGGGACACAGCCTTTTATTTGTATTTTACGTATACGACCCCTGACATGTTCATGATTCTTATCAAATCTGGCCGGCAGATCGATCTTTAGTTTTCTGCTGAATAAAAAAGTATGCAACGTTATTCTGTTAATAAGCGCTGGCAAGTTTCACTGCTGGCACTGCCAATGTTAGACATAAGTATATACGGGTTATTGATTGAATCTTCCGATGCTGAAAAATGGAGATGCAAGTAAAAAATTTACTAATTCATACATTAAATGTAATTCAGGTAAAAAAAAATAATTCCAATAATCTGCTCAAATTTTGCTCCGCTACTTCTGTAACTTTTCCTGCACTTCCACACAACTTCCAAGTTACCCCAGTGCTCGTGGTGAACCAGTAGGCAAGGTATCGCTGTAAGCGCCAACAAATGAGAAAGGCATCGTTGTAAGCGCCAACCAATCAGCAAGGCATCGCTGTAAGTGCCAGCCAATCAGAAAGCTATCGCTGTAAGCGCCAACCAATCAGCAAGGTATCGCTGTAAGTGCCAACCAATCAGAAAGCTATCGCTGTAAGCGCCAACCAATCAGCAAGGTATCGCTGTAAGTGCCTCCTCAGTATTTAGTGTTCAAATGAAAAGACCAGGCCGGTGTGGCACTAGTACCTTGAAGTCTGAATTTCGGAGGTCCTCCAGAGGCACCCCTTCCCCCTCAGCGTGGAAGAACTCTACCAGAGCCTGTGTATAGTACAAAACCTATCAATTTACTGCTGACCTCCGAACAACCTCTTCACACACAAAATATATAAGAGTATATTAACAGTATCACATGACATTATGCAATTTACGAGTACTCCTACTGCAGAGACTTCTATGACAGCCAGGACCATACTAGAACCCTTCCCCTCTATGCTTAGCATTACATAAGAAACATCACAAATCTAAAACAGACAGCATGCTGTGTGTCCTTCCTGCATGTTCCTCCGAACCAAAACTGAGGACAATGCACTTATTTTTGGACTTGCCTACCATAAATACTATAGCAGCCAAAATGACCACCTTGGGATGAGAAGATGACATGACCTCCTGGCTACCCGCAGGTTCCCTGTTCCTAACAGACCTGCCCGTCACTGACCTCCACCGTGTAGTGGAATCTTCCGTAGAACTCCATCTGCACTCCACGGTTCTCTGCTACGGTGTCAAAAATCATCCGGAGAAGCAGAGCCCACAAACTCTGCAACACTCTGGGAAATAAAATATGCGTTGATGAGAACAGTCATGCCCTGAGAGAAAGAACATCACTAACACCACTTCTAAATGGTCAGAACAGTTATAACTAATTGAATACAGGTTCATAAAGGAGATAACAGAAGTATCATGGAGACAAAATGTCATGTAGAAAAAAAATGGCTATAAAACATCTTGAATAGGTCACCTGCTCAGATTTTCCTTCACGAGTGAATTACTGAGGATGATTAGCACGTCGTCCAGGTACTTCATCAAGGGGGACACAGCCTGAAACGCAGAGCGGAATGGCGCAGGTGACTCGGGGGAGGAGAATGGCCCGAGTCACATGGTACAGAAGGAGGAAGGAAAGAGCAGGCCGACTTACATCATCATTTCTAATTGAATCCGGAGATAGACTGATGTGCTGGATGTACTTCTTCAGATCTGAAAGCATCTACCATTCCAGGGAGAAAGAACAACGGAGGGGAGGAAATGATGATTGGCAGGGCTGACAGCACGCACAGTACCGGGACGCTTCCTTAAACCTGTAAGAATCTTGTGTTGGTGTCATACCAAAAGTCTATTGGCAACTTAATTGCCCATATCTTCCACAAAGACACTTTCTTTTTATTAAGTGCTATACTTTTTTGACTGACTCTTTGAGATCTTTTCTCGCCATTTTGCTATTAATTGCAATTGTGGTCACTGGCTCCCAATGGGATACTAAACACAAATGTTTGCCGTTTTATGTTATTGCGAAGGTGTCACTGATTAAAAAGCCCCCACTGAGACTGATTGTGAATGAAATTTTCAACTGTTATAGAAGTATAATTTGGGTTTCAGTTTATTACTACTCAAATTGAATGTTTTAATTAAAAATTTCCTGTTGTATATATTTTATAAACAAATGAATAAAGTATTCTTTTGATATAAAACCAATAAGTTTGCAATACTTTTATTGAATTAAGCAAGGGTCTCAAGACTTTCTTTGTGAACACTGCATATGTGAACACTGTGTCTATATATATATATATATATATATATATATATATATATATATATATATATATATATATATATATATATATATATATATATATATAGCCCACATATTTTTTTCTCAGACACAAGAAGCCTATTTTATTTCAGACACATTCTGGGGGGGGGGCGCATGCTTGTTGTCACGTTACACCCACAAACTGCCTCTATTCACAGGGTGTGGGCTGTCTTTATTTATATTTTGCAAGCTGATTGACACATCAGGGAAGACTGATCTCAGCACCTTGTCAGTGAGGTTTGTGATCATGCGTTTGGTCTCCCTCTGCAGGTCTAGGTCGATATTGTAGAGCTGTGCATTGAGGGCCTTGTTCATTTGCTCCCTCCCCTCTGGCCCACAAGACTCCTCCATGGCCAGTTCCAGTCCCCTCCAGTCCAGGACCCTTGGCAGGTTCCCCAGAAACGAACGCATATGCTCAATGTTGTTCAGGGCAACACAGACCTGGTAGGGAGAAAAGATGACAGAGCAGGGAAATCATGAGGAACTTTCACCAAGGAGAACTTGGGATTACGTACTCAATAAATAACAGGAGACAGATGCCTCAGGAAGAGTTCTAATGAAAACAATATCTACAGAAACATGTCGGAGTTTGTGCTTTGGCTCCTGGACCAGTTTAACATGAGAGAATTAGGAAATCGTCCAGGGTCGCTACCTGGAGGATAAAATTCTTGTATTCCTGTCCTGGCTGATTCCTTTCAATCTTACGTCTTATCAGCTCAGAGTACCACACAGCCGCACTGCAGAAATCCTGGAACCCACAAAGACGCAATGAATTTATGCATTTTGTTTTCAATGCTTTACTTGAGATGTTATTTTATCAGAAAGAGAAAGGACAAAAGACTATAAGTGTTTTGCATTTTATATTATTCAGCCAAAGTGGAGCATCATGATCAATGAGATTCATATAGACCAGTGTCTCCCATTCCGGTCCTCAGGAAACCCCCAGTCGGTCCATGTTTCCGCTCCCTCCCGGCTCCCTACCAGACAGTCCACATGCTTGTGACAGAGATCTCAGCAGGACATGGGTGTCACTCACATCTGTCAGGCGGGTCACCAAGATGAAGGCCCCCGCAGAGTCAGGCCAGGCCAGCTGTGCCCAGAAGTTACAGACCTGGCTGAAGCAGGCAGTGACGTCCACAGCGGAGCTGCCGTGCTTCTCCTGGCCGTGGACGGGCTCCAGCTGTGCCAATCAGAGGGGCGAAGACCACGTCACTTTCCGCCACACAGACAGACCTGCATCCTAGAAAGCGGCTGATAAGCAGATCTTCAAAATAACAAAAGAGCCACTGCAATAGTTCTTTCAATTATCATGTTAACGGAGGATAAAATTATGGAAACACTGCGCAACATATCAATAATATCAAGGACCCAATATGAAGTACGGTCACTCTTAGAACACCGGCACACAAATGCTGATCTGCATAGAGAGGGATATTGGGGATCTTTTCTTCTTCAAGAAGAAAAGCCTCCAGTGCTTTTAGGAGATGGAAATCTACTCCACACATATTCACAATCCCATATTCACAATCCCTTCAATTATGTTTAGGCCATGGAAGAAACAAGTCCTGAATTGTTCTCAAAGTGTGTATGGCGGCTGCACCATCCTGGAACACAGGAACATTAAGGGGAACAGAGTTTGCACTGCAGGGTGCACCTGGTCCTGCAAAATCACTTCATGTTGCGATGACCGTGTAAAATGCGACGGCTGCCATGAGCTGTCTGGCCACGTCAACAGACGTCGTCAGCTGAAGGCTTCCCATGGCTCTCCGAAAATATACCCGTTTGGATGCAGGAAAGGGGGGGCTGGTGACTCATCAGACAACGTTCCATGTACCCATTGCTCAAGGGTCCAGGTTTTGTCCTCTTCATGCCAGGTAAGGCATCGTTGTGCATTTGCTTTGGGTGAACGCAGTTTCTGAGAGAAGCTTACAAAGTACAGTTTTTATAGAGAATTGGCCACAGAGGTGAATATTCAGTTTTGAGGTACTTATGTGGTGTTAATATGCTGTTAAATGTCAATCCCTGTCGATGACCTTTAACACGAGACCACTGTTTGCTGATAAAGTTTGTCCATGTTTGGCACGTGCTGCCATCATTTTTGAGATCGGACCCACTTAAGCATTTAATAATGTTGCAGGTTTTGCAGCTGTTGGTTGCTTCATGTTGCTTTGAAAACTGGCATATCCAGTGGTGGGCACGGCTAACGAAAAGTTAGCTTCGATAGCGGGATCCTGCCCACCACTGGGCATATCAAACTGCTGACTGCTGCCAAGAACTGTAGCATGTAGCATTTAACTATTTAACGATTCCCCTTTGTAGCTGCATTTGTAATGGTGCTTCAGTTACTTCAAAATGTATTTATGATATTTTGTGCATCACTCATGTTTGTATTTAGGTTCTTCAAACCTGAGTGACACTACACAGCCAAATGCTTTAGCTTGATGGAGAACTTCCCGCTACGCCATTAGACCCAAACAAACTCACATTATCTAGCTCCACCGCTCTACGGATCCTGTCACAAGACTTTTCATGAACGATTTGCAGCCACTTGTGAATGGAGGTCTTGAACCAATTATGATAATCAGTCAGGGCCAGCATTCTGGCTTCCCTGAAAAGAAGTCAATGATACATAGTGTCAGAAAAAAAGCTACGGCCATTATGATTAGCAAAGTTAACCCTCTTGGTTAACTGTTTTATTATAATTTCAAATAATTATCATGCTAGTAAATCAGCCTGAAATGCTTGGTCTGGCACTTACTTAGCGGGTAGATAGTCTCTGCACATCCTGAGTGTTTTGAGGGATATGTAGAGCTCGAAGAGTGTTTCACCCATGGTCTGTGAGAGCCGAGATCCTTCTTGTTCAAGAGTTCCACAAACCTTCTCCATGATCACACTCACGTCATCTGCCACCTAGAGGAATTACACGGCACAACTGATTCAGGTTCAAAATTAAACTTTCAAAGGTAACCAACCCTGGATCAGTAAAATATGCATGTATTAATATGTACGCTTATCCTCATACATGGTAGAATGCACTCATATAATGTCCGTGTCAGTATGGAATCGGGATACACACCAGTTTTTCCAACTGACGATAGGAGATGCTAAAAAAATCCACTTTCACTGAACTAGAAGACACAAAAAGCAACAACAAGGCTAGTTATTCATTTATTCATTCCATATATAATTTCGGTCAGTCGTACATTTTCAAATGTAATTGTATTGGTATCATTCTAGGCAAGAGGAATCAAACTAGACATCAGCCGCTGCTCTTAACGATTATTTTGAAGACTTTCTTTAGAACCGCTAAGCCTCAGTAACATTAAACACCATAGTCCACCACCTGACTCTGAATATCTGGGCATCGAAACCCAGAAATCCCACATTTGCATTCAGTCAGATTCCACTCTACCTGGAGAAGATCTTGTCATAGACGGCATGTCCTTTCTGCACGTCTGCGCAGACAGCATCGACTACCAGGATCAGGCGTCGCAACTGCTGCTCCAGCGTCTTCAGTAAAGGAAAGGCGGCAGCTAAATTAGGGAACTCCCAACACGAATCGGAACAACCTTTCTTATGGATTTGACTTGAAACGAATCACTAGAATTAGCTTTATTCACAGTTTATTTTATACATATATACAGCACGGTGCAAAAATCTTTTCTGCCGAAGAACGATATGTTTAAGTGACCTATTGGTGTAAAATTATGATTTTATGTTTGGCAAAGTGTGTTGGCTGAGCTTTTTCAAACTCTCTCCAACCGTAACTGTCTAGTTTATCCATATACAGCTCTGGAAAAAATTAAGAGACCACAGCAATTAAAAAGGCCAATAGGATGTTGGGTTACATCTCTAGGTGTGTGGAGTTCAAGTCAAGGGAGGTGATGCTACGATTATATAATTCCTTGGTAAGACCCCACCTAGAATATTGTGTGCAGGTTTGGTCAACATACCTTAAAAATGACATTGCTGCCTCAGAAAAGGTTCAACATAGGGCTACGAGAATGATTCCTGGTCTTAGAGGAATGTCTTATGAGGAGAGGTTAGTTGAGCTGAATCTGTTCAGCCTCGAGCAAAGGAGACTAAGGGGGGACATGATCCAGGTCTATAAGATTCTAACAGGTCTGGATGCTGTTCAGCCAAATGGCTACTTTAATATTAGTTTAAATACTAGAACTCGTGGCCATAAGTAGAAATTAGCAGGAGAACATTTTAAAATTAATTTGAGGAGGCACTTCTTTACACAGCATGTAGTTAGAGTATGGAATAGTCTTCCTGCTAGTGTAGCGGAAGCTAAAACCCTGGGTTCCTTTAAATCAGAGCTAGATAAGATTTTAATAACTCTGAGCTATTAGTTAAGTTCTCCCCAGACGAGCTTGATGAGCCGAATGGCCTCCTCTCGTTTGTAAATTTGTTATGTTCTTATGTTCAAAATTTTTAGTTTCACTCATTTCTCAGTTTATGGGTCTGTGTAAAATATTTTTTTTTTTTGCAAACTCCAGCCAGGCTCTTCCCTGCTTCTCATTAATGAAGGGCTTCTTCTTTGCTTTATGGGTCTTCAGTCCTGCTTCTAGGAGCCTGATACGAACTGTCCTAGCAGT